ACCAGGAGTGGCCACACACCACCCAGCCTCTTCCGGCTGCCCTGGGAGTCACTAACTCTCCGGGTCAGCCCATCATCCGGTGGCTCTGCTTTGCCCTCTGCCACCTGGCAAAATTACAGGGCTCTCCTGGGCAAGAGGGATTGTCTGCCTCTACTCCACCAATACATACAATATAGGGGAGGAATACCCCTCCCAAACTCCAAACATGGTGGATCAGCTGGGACTGTGTCATGGCTCATCTTTGGGCCATGGCCTGTGGTTTGGGACCCATTGCTCTAACTGGTGCCCTCAGGTATGGAGAGCTCAAACCTAGTATTTAAAGACACCTTTGTGCCACCCCTTGAGCTCCGCCTCAGGAGTGTGTGGAATATGTAAAGTCAGGAGGGAACATGATGATTCCCTTGTTCAACTTCCTGCATAACACAAGTGATTGAATTTCATTTAACAATTCCTGCATCCAGACCATAACTTCTGATGGAGCCAGAGCCGTCCCATCCATAGGACAGCTTGGGGCAGCCACCCCATGACTCCACACTTTGGGGGGCCCTGTGGCAGCTGCCTCAACCGTCCTATGGTCAGGGCTCAGGAGATTACTTGGGGGCCTGGCATGGGGCAGCAGTTGGGGTCAGCCTCCTTCTTTCAACAGTGAGAACTGAAGCAACCTGGCAGCCTGCTCTGCTCCACCATACTGGCCTCTCTCACTGCCACAGTGAAGCAGAGCACAGTGGGATAGGCGAGGCTGTCAGGGGGTGGAGCGTAGCAGGCTGCTGGGTTGCTCCAGCTCCCACCACTGTGCAGAGTGCAGGAGGGGGTGCTTATGTTGCTCAGGGGAAGGGTAAGGGGGCAGAGCAAGAATGGGAGCAGAGGCAGAGCTTGGGAGAAGGAGTGAGACGGGGGTGGAGCAGAAATGTGGCAGGTATGGTGGCAGGAGGGTTGCCCTGAGCCCTTCACTTGGGGCATTGGGGAGGGAGTTGCCCCAGACACCATATTCCCCTAGGGATGTCTCTGGTTGGAACTACTGCTTCTCTTTTAGAAAAAGATAGCCAATCCAGATTTCAAGGCTTCAAATGAAGGTGAATACGCCACATCCATTTAGCCAGCTCTATACTAGACACAGAAAACTGGCTTAAGGTATGCAAATCCAGCTACATAAATAATGTAGATGGAGCTGGCATACCTTAAATCAAGATTGGCACCTTCTGTTCACATCACCTTCCCTTATTCTACACAACTGTAAGAAGTACTGGCACTGATCAGAGGCACCCTCAGCATTTGATTTATCAGGTCTTAACTAGACCCGCTAAACTGAACGCCAGAAGATCAATCTCCGGTGTATAAGTGAATCTCTTCGAACTTTTCAACATTCTTTTTTAGAGTGCAGATTACAGAACTGGTAATGGTCTCATTAATGCTTTATATAGAGGTAGTACCACCTCCCTTCTCCTACTCAGCATTTCCCCATTTGTATTTCCAAAAATTGTTCTAATTCTCTCAGCCACAACATTGTACTGGGAGCTTTTATTCATTTGGACAGCCATAATGACCTCTAAATGCTTTCAGTCATTGCTTTCCAGAATGCAGCCCACCCTCCCCATCAGTGTGTACCCTGCATTCTTTGTTCCTACATGTATCACCAATGCATTTCATAGAATCATAGAATCATAGGACTGGAAGGGACCTCGAGAGGTCATCGAGTCCAGCCCCCCCGCCCTCAAGGCAGGACCAAGCTCCGTCTACACCATCCCTGACAGATGTCTATCTAACCTGTTCTTAAATATCTCCAGAGAGGGAGATTCCACCACCTCCCTTGGCAATTTATTCCAATATTTGACCACCCTGACAGTTAGGAATTTTTTCCTTATGTCCAATCTAAACCTCCCTTGCTGCACTTTAAGCCCATTACTCCTTGTCCTGTCCTCAGAAACCAAGAGGAACCAATTTTCGCCTTCCTCCTTGTGACACCCTTTTAGATATTTGAAAACCGCTATCATGTCCCCCCTTAATCTTCTTTTTTCCAAACTAAACAAGCCCAGTTCATGAAGCCTGGCTTCATAGGTCATGTTCTCTAGACCTTTAATCATTCTTGTCGCTCTTCTCTGTACCCTTTCCAATTTCTCCACATCTTTCTTGAAATGTGGCGCCCAGAACTGGACACAGTACTCCAGCTGAGGCCTAACTAGTGCAGAGTAGAGCGGCAGAATGACTTCACGAGTTTTGCTTACAACACACCTGTTGATACAACCTAGAATCATATTTGCTTTTTTTGCAACAGCATCACACTGTTGACTCATATTCAACTTGTGGTCCACTATGACCCCTAGATCCCTTTCCGCCATGCTCCTTCCTAGACAGTCGCTTCCCATCTTGTATGTATGGAACTGATTGTTCCTTCCTAAGTGGAGCACTTTGCATTTCTCTTTATTAAACTTCATCCTGTTTACCTCTGACCATTTCTCTAACTTGCTAAGGTCATTTTGAATTATGTCCCTATCCTCCAAAGAAGTTGCAACCCCACCCAGTTTGGTATCATCTGCAAACTTAATAAGCGTACTCTCTATCCCAATATCTGATATCCCAATATTTGATGGTAACAAAACCTTATGCATCACTTTTGAATTTAGCCTTGAGTTTCAGAACTTTCTATTTGATGACCTTACTAACTTGTAGGACAACACAGTATATTTTAGCTGAGAACTGTGCGTAGCAGTTGTAAACTGCATCTTTATAGAACTCAAAAGCAGCGGGCTTGATAAGTAGCCTCCTTTATTCCAAAGACCTGAATTATTACATCAGCCCATTTTACCACCTTAAATTAAATACTTACCTGTCCATGGGCAAGAGAATTAATTGACATGTTGTCAGTACCATCAGTATCTAACCAGTAACCATTATACCACCAAGAATGATACACTCACTTTTTTGTGGGTAATTAGGCTCATTTTAAAATAAAGTATTTTATACTCCATATATCACTTACATGCAGTGTCAGATATGGGTGTGTTGGAAGATTTGTGTGAGCTTCTAGATGATACAGAGGGGGTCCGATTAGTGTTCAGAACTGAGGCACCTATTTCAAGCGCATTAAAGTGCGGTTCAGGATCCAGGCTTAAATCACTGTCCTGAAATTAAGAAAACATCATATGACACCTGACAGAGTTCATTGTTTTGTCATGTCCCTGATAGTTAAGGCTACAGTTTAATCATGGCTATTGTTAGTAAAAGTCCTGGACAGGTCACAAACAATAAACACAGATTTGCAGCCCGCGACTGGTTCATGAGTTACCCTATAAAATACCTGTAGCAGGAAATGAAACCAGTTTCCTGCTTGAGTAAGAATGTAGATATATATTTCACTTGTGACAGGTTCAAGCAGGCAAGTAGGAAGTGTAACCCGCCTATTGTTAAGCAAGCGAATAAATGTAACAAACAACTGTAACCTCAGAGTCAGCAGGTTTGCATAGTGCAGCTAACCTTATTTGGAGATAAACCTGACTTCCAAGGATATTAGAAGCAAAATAAGGTAACCAATCATGTTAAGGCACATAAACCAGGAAGGATCTTAACCCTATAAGACCCCTTGCTTACCCGATGCTGGGGGTCGGCTTTGCTTTGAACACTTAGCTCCCTAGCCGAACCTTGCTTGCAAGCAATAAAATTGAGTTGGACCCAGCCTGAAAGTGTGACTCTCTTCTGTGGGCAAATTAGACTAGCCTCCAGGGGATGAACCTTGCAAATTTATGCAACATACCCATGACTCAATTTTGGGGGATGCAGAAGGCCACCCCCAGGTCTGCTCCCCAGGCAATCCCCACGGCCAGCCACACCGCTCGCTGCTCAGGCAGTTCCCAGGCCCGGCTGCCACAGCAGTGGCTGGTATGGCTGGTCCTGGGATCATTCCAGAAGTGGGCGGTGTGGCTGGCTGTGGGGATACCCGAGTGGCTGGCTGCAGAGCTGCTCCTGCAGAGGCTGTCCCCTGGGCCACCTGAGCTGACCCCAGAATGAGCTGCTTGTGTAGCCCCAGGGTCAGACACACCAGTCACTGCAGAAGTAAGGGAGGTCGTGGAAAGGCTCAGAATCTGTGACGTTCCCCAATCCCTTGACAAACACAGCGCCTTACTGATAGTATTTGGAGGGCCAGCTGGTATTAAGTCTCATAGCCACAGCATTGCATTGGGAGTTTTTATTCTGTTGGATAGCCATCATAACTCCTAAATCTTGCCAGAGTCATGGCTTTCCAGAAAGCAGTCCCCCACCCTGAATTAGCTTTTACTGTTATGGAAAGACTTTGCATGCCATTGTTCTATCAATTTTTGGTCCAGTCTTATGAATTGCAGCATCTCTTTCTTCTTTCAGTAATGAGTGACGACTCTCAGAATGACTCAGCACTGCACAAAATTAGACCCTTTGTTCTTCAGATAAACTTAAAACAAATAGCCTTGCAGCACCTTAAAGACTAACAAAACATGTAAATAGTATCACGAGCTTTCGTGGGCACAACACACTTCTTCAAATGAATAGAGTTATTAAAGGTCCAATTTTGAAATAAATAGGGGGTGGGGCAGGGGACAAGGGAAAAAAAGGAGGGGTGGGAGAAGAAATAGTCAAGTAGACAAGGGTGTCCATGGTACATGAAGCTGATAGAGAAGTTGCAAATTGTTCTTAAGTACCCATTGTTTGGTTTTTTTATGTCATTAAGATGTGGAATGTAGCGGGCCATCCAGCCAATGTCTTTATTCATACTTTTGTGATAGGAATCAAACCTGTGAATGAAGTTAAGTTCCAAGGCTTCCCTGTGTATTTAGCTTGTGGAATTGGCCTGAAACAGTATGGTGACTTTGAGATCCATTAATGAGTGCCCGGGCAAGTTAAAATGTTCCCCAACAGGTTTCTGTGTGTTAATTTTTTGGATTATCTGATTTGTGTCCATTAATTCTTTCCCATAGAGACTGTCCAGTTTGGCCAATATAACACTACTATCAGCTTCATGTCCTATGGAGACTCTAATTGACTATTTTTCCCCCAACCTCCCTCTTTTTTTCCTTCTTTCCCCCCATCCCTTATTTATTTTGAAAGTGGACCTTTAATAACTCCATTCATCTGAAGAAGCGGGTTGTGCCCACGAAAGCTCATGATACCATCTACATGTTTTCTTAGCCTTTAAAGGTACGTCTAGACTGCATTGCTATTTTAGGATACCAGAAGTATCCCCAAATAGCAATGCCATGTCTTTAAAGATATCCACTATTTCCCAAAATAGTGGGCATGCTATTCCAGCATCCCTCATTAAGTCTCATTCCACGAGGGTTAAGGGATTTGTTGGCATAGTGCCTTATTTTGAAATTTGGTGCTGTCTACAAAGCACAAAATTTCAAAATAATCTCCTTCAACTTAGACTTGGAATAAGCTACGCAATTTGTGCGGCACAAATTGCGTAGCTTATTCCGACAGAAGGCTGCTGTCTAGATGTACTCTAAGGTGCTAAAAGACTATTTGTTGTTTTTTAAGTTTTTCCAGATACAGACTAACTCGGCTATATCTCTGAAGTCCTTCAGATAGTAAGTTTTGAAAAGGAACAAACATACGCATGTCAGTCTATAGTTAAGAATGAGTTGGCATTTCCGTTTATGAAAAACATATCTGATTAAACCTTTAGTGCTGAAGAAACAATTTCTGAAGGTGCGTCTTCCAAGGCCATTTCTTGTCTCCTTTCCACTCGAACATCTGCATAACTAATTGAAAAATATAATTCTACATGAGTAACAATTTATTATTTTATTTTATAAAAGACATTTTAAACAAATGGAGCAATATTAAAAGATACTATATCTTCCTATATGAGAAATGAAATCAAGTCACATTTAGGGCATAAAATTTGGAGGACTGCGTTTTTACAGCCACTCCCCGACTTACAAAGATCCGTACTTATGACCAACCTCCCATTAACCTCATTATAATATTTTCGAGTTGAGAACCATGTACGTCAAGTTTTTCGAACAGCGTGGGCAGCGCGTGTAAGGGTATTTCCAACTTATGACCAAATCGAGTTACGACCAGGTGTTCGGAACGTAAGTTAGGGACTGCCTGTATTTTCAATTTCTGCTCAGTTTCTATATATCCATTCACAAAAAAAAAAATGTTAAAAAAAATCCATTAGGCTGAAAGTGTGTTTTGTTATGCTATGTCTACACTACCAGGTTATTTCAAAATAAGTTATTTTGAAATAATAAGTCCCAAAATAACTATTTCGAAATAAGCTTATTCCTCTTCACAAGCAGGACTTATTATTTCAGATAACAAGCCCATTATTTCAAAATAACAGGCTTGGTAGTGTGGACACTTGCCTTGTTATTTCGAAATAACTCTCCAGTATAGACATGCCCTTAAGAGTCCACCCAAAAACAGTGTTACAATTTCTTTATAAAAGCTGCACACATCAACATACCCCCAAATATTAGAATATCAGGAAATGAAAGTTAAGTGATCATCCTGTTCCCTCAAGTGATCATCCTGTTCCCTCACTGCCACATAATCCTTCATCACTCACTTCCACCCACCCCAACCTTAAGCAGGCTGCCTATGGAGTTCTGTGCAGCCCTACAGCATCACTGCTCTTAGTACATACTTTCTTCTGGATCCTACAGGACCTGGGCAGAATCAGGCCACTTATAGCAGCCCTATTCTTCTGCCTCACCTAATGTGACCTCTTGATGCTGTTGGAGTGTTGGGACTGAAACAGGGAACAGAATCAGGACCTCAGTGGCTTGTAATTGTCTAAATCCCCCAAATATCAGAATTCTACTTGCTCTGAAATATGCTCAGAGCTTTTTTATTTTCGTGTTCTTTATGTTAACAATGGGTAGGAAGCTGAGAGCGACACCTCCTCTTTATTGGGGTCTTTTTCAAAAGCGACACTTGAAATAACCTTTCACCAATACTTCATTTACATCCATAAGCCATTTTGTTGTATTTTATGTAGCTGAATGTCCTGATTCTCTGCTCCCACTGAGCAAAGGGTATGGGGTTAGAAAGAAACTTTAAGCCAACTTTGCACTTCCCCTATTTGCAAGCTGGCCAGAGAGCTGCTTTAACCTACTCCCGGTCACCTCTGGCCCCAAGGGTGCCATTCCACCAGCCAAGAACAGCTGGAATGAATCAATGGTCTAGCCCCTCTCTTTTTTTTCAGCCTGGTCCCTTGTGTCAGAGGCTGTCAGAGATGGACTACTTCCATGAGAGTTGTCATATATCCATGCATAAAGGATCCTCATAAGGGGGAATTCTCCAGCGGTTGTAATGTGATACTTCACAGTCCTTTTATGTAATGGGATTGGAAGAAAAGGAGCCAAATGCAACTGGTAATCTGGCCCCTGATTTTAAGATTCTGATAACCAACACATGAACTTTGTTCTCATATGGTACTTGCAGCATGAAAACAGACTTAACCTGATCATATTTTAATGAAGCTTATTTTCGCTTCAGAATTCATATTTAAATTCTGTTAGGTTGAAGACTATAAAGGTGACTTTATGAAATCATTAAAATTTTCACATGTTCTTGTGATTTTAGGTCCTTAGAGTCTGACTTGATTACAATAGTAACAAATATAATTAAGCCTTTTCCCTACCTTACTACAGTGTGGGTGCATACAATAAATTCTGGCTTGGAGTTCCACTGATGGTAGGTGATATAGTAATGGGTCTGCAGCCAGATCCATTGCTGTCCTTTGGTCAGAAACCGGTAACAACAAGACTTTCCCTTGCCAAACTGCATCACTGTTAATAGAAAATGGACACTACATATAGCAAATTTTAAAATATGAAAAATAACTTTTAAAAAGGATTTTAAGAAATCTCTCTGTAACTTGTGATAAAAGCACATATCATGTATGTCACTAGGTATCTCCTGAAATTTTAAATACACAGTACAGTTACAAAGAGCACATATGTGATGAATGCTAATAGTGGGACATTTATTAATAAATAATTACGACTTATTTATAACTTCTTGCATATTTTATGAACTGGTCACATATTAGCTCAATAAGCACCTGGCACTGATTTCTAAGACAACAGAACTGTATGTAAAAGGTCTGAGTTCCATGGCTGAGAAATACAGCACGTAAAATCCTGTGCAGAGGTACACCCTATGCAATTCCACTGGCTTCAATGACATAGCATAAATCAGTGCAAAATTTTATCTTAAATCTGAGATAACATGAAGCAAAGATGAAAATAATTTGAAACTGAATAGAATTCACCAGCCAGTCAAGAGTTCAATGATGACCTGCAGGTCCGGTCCTAATCAATTGGTGACCCCAGGCAACCGCCCGCCTCTCCCGTAGGGTTGCCAGATGGTTTAAAAAAAAATACCGGACAAAAATTTGTCAAGCAAAAAAAAAAGGGTCAGGGAGTAACCTGGGAAGCCTGCGGGGAGGAGGAGGATTCGGGAGGCCGGGCCGAAATGCAGTTGCGGCCTGCCCCTAAGACCGGTCCCTTGAAAATGGTGGCCGCTCTGATGACATGATTAGGCCTGGTCTACAATACAGTGTTAGGTCGACATAAAACAGCTTATATCAACCTAACTCTGTAAGGTTCTACACCAAAACGTAGCTCCCACTGATGTAACTTGACACTGACTTATAATAACTCCAGCTCCATGAGTGGCATTGCGCTTAAGTCGATGTAGTCAGAGTGATGCTGTGTCAGTGTAAACTCTGTGGGTATGTCTACACTACCCTCCTAGTTCGAACTAGGAGGGTAGTGTAGACATACCCTGAGTTACTTACATTGACTGTTGCTGCCTTTTAAATACCACCCCACAAAGCCCCAGCTAAATTGGCAGCTAAACTGGTACAAGTGCTCTGGGTGAGGAAATGCACCACTGGACACAAGGAGCATAGTGTGGACACACAAAAGAGTTAATTACTGTGGTGGTTGTATGTTGATGCAACTTAGGTTGACTTAATTTTCTAGTTTAGAATTGCTCATAATGTTTTAAAACCTCATGGACCAAATTCACCCCAGCTTTAGCTCTATTAACATCAAGAGTCTCACACTCTGATGCATTATGGCTTATATTTTAATGTCAAAATCTCCAAACTAATTTTGTCTGGAGGCATTCATTCCATACCAAGGTAATACGACTGAGATGTTACTATCAATGCTATAAGCAATTATGTGAATATGACTGCTTGATTTTTTACATTGCTTCAGGTAGCAAATGGTGTTTTTTTTAAAAACCCAATAGACTATATTTAAATAACCCCAGATTTTAAATATACATTGAACAACACCAGGGATAACAACCTACAAAAGGGTTACAAAGCGTGGCCTTCTCCAAGACTGGGTGAGTTAGTAAATAAATTACAGGAACAACAGAATGTAGATCAAATCCTGGTTACCTCACTCACTCACTGAGTGCTTGTCATTGGCATAATTTATATGAATAACACAAACATGATTTGTCCTTCTAAGTGCTACAGAACTCTGGGCCACCATTTTACTAGCTACTGCACTCTCAATCTGGACAGAGTCCAGTAACATCAGTTCACAGGCATAGAGCAGTGTAACAGAGGTAAGAACCTGGTCTGCCAAGTTTACACCTATCTTAACAGAAGCTGCATTTTACAGAGTGCGAACATGGCAATGAATTCACATGCGCTTACGCTATGCAATACTTACAGTGTTCATGGCATCTTGCTAAGAGTTCTAGGTCATCGATGTGGTAATAATCATAGCCAGAAGTCCCCAATACTTCGAAAGGCAAGTATCCTATAATAGGCGGTGCTCTGTATAGGGGCACAGTACAAATTATTTCATAAAAATGACGAAACAAGCAGCAACTCTTTCTATGTTAAATAGGAAGTTCAGAATGTCCATTATACAAATTCTGCTTTCCCTCACACAGACATCACTCTCTCTGAAATCAATGGGCCAAATTCTGACTTCACTGCTCTACAGACAGGCAGCCTCGCTCTAGCTCAGCTCTCCAGCTTAGTTCCACACCTGCAGAGTAGCATGGGCAACCTGAGTTTTCTACAGCAACTTCTTCCTCCTCAAGGCAATGCCTGTGTCTTCAGTGACTTATATGGCAGTGGAGTCACCAAGGAAAGGGGACACGAGCAAAGTGGTGTTACCCTGATGTCCCTGTTATGGGGAGGCAACCTCCTTGAATGAGTTACAGCTGGGGAGACAGCAAAGGAGCAGAGCAACATCTGTCCCTGCCCAGCATCAGAGCAAGCTGCCAGCTAGCCAGAGAGATCATAGACTGGTAGGACAGAGCTCTCCCTGGCAGGAAAAACGTAACTGGGAAATGCAGCTGGGCTCCCAAGGAAAGCCCAATTTCCTCTCAAGAGCCTGCTCTGAGGAGCAACCTCCTTCCCACCTCCTCAGGCATTTCCCTGTTTCTTCTCTGGAGCAAGTAACTTTGCTTTCATACCTGCTCTAGGCAACAGCAGCCTCTGTGGCTCCTGCCTCATGAAAAATAGCCACTGAGATGGGAAGAACAGACAAGGTGATAGCCTGCATAAGCTTTTCATTGTGGGCCTCTACAGGGCCTGAACATGTGCAGCCATTTTACGCCTCTAACCTTGCCAGCGTAACTGCCCCAAGATGGGTCAAACGAGCACAGAACTTCCCTCCATAGCTCTTAGCAACTGGTTCAAAAGGAGTTGTACACATGGCTCCATTTGGAAAGTAATATTTTCAAGGCACAGGCCAGACACACAAAAACTCTATCCTTCTTCTGACTTTACTTGATTTATTATCTCCGATTTCTGGATTAGCTAATCAGCTGTATAATAGTGAGAAAATTGTGGTTCATGATCATAGCCTACTGACATTTTAATACAGATAAGGACTCGCATGGGCTTCCAGTATGTAAGGCAGGGGAAGGCTCTGCCTTCCCAAACCACCAGGCATGGCCACGGCCACACTCTGGCCCCAGAATGCCTGCTGTAGGCATTCGGGGTGGAGTGTTGCTGCTCTCAATGCCTGCCCACCTGGTGCTCTGGAGCTGGAGAGGCAGGGCTGGGCCAGGCCACGTGGCCTGCCCTCCTCTGGGGCTGGGAAGGCTGGGGCCATGCTGTGCAGCGTGTGCCCTCTGATTTCCTCGGGGGCTGGGGAGACTGGGGCAAGTTCGTGCCTGCCTGCTCCCCTACTCTTCTGGTGGTTGGGAGGGGGAGTATGTACCCATGGAGTGCTGCTCTACCTCCCTGTGGGGGGCAGGGAAGGGGTGGGGCCTCAGAAGAAGGGGTGGGGCTGGAGGCTTGCCTCCCCCAGCCATGTCTTCACTAACCGCCCAAGGACTCACTAATCAAAATACTCTCCGGAAAAACATTTTTAATGCACAGTATTTGTATAAAAATATATTGATGAAAAAAATAAATGCAGACAAAACCACCAACCTCCAAAATCAGTGAAATCAAACATCAAATTTTGCAGACATGTTAATCAAAACAGTGCCAATAACCAGGCTCTTCAAACTATTGTGATGTGAAGCATAGTATTATTTTACAGAATCTAGCTACTGAAAATACCAGTAAACAGGTACAAACAAAACCAAATATGATTTTCTGCTCACAAACCTGTGGTCCAGAAATAAAAATTTCCATTCCAGACTATGTCTTGAAGTGAATTCCTCTAAAGGTTCTTCGACGATACACATTTCCTGCATTGTGAAGAAGATCTGATTACTAAGATTGTTAATGTATCTCTTGGCTTTATCCACTTCTTGTGAAATAGGAATACACAGCAGGGATGAGGAATATAATCAAATAGAAAATACATATGTCAACCAGTAATGCTGAATAGAAATCTAATGTTAATACTAACTGGTACTAAAGCCATTGCACAGGGTAAGAAAATACAATAGAGTTAATAATCATCATCATTATTATTTCTTATGGTATATAGGAAGCTATGTTTTAAAGCACTCAACAGATTTTGATAGTGCAGCTGCTGCGCTGTAGGGCTATGTCTAGACTACACGCCTTTTTCGAAAGAGGTTTTTTTCAAAAGATACTTTTGAAAAAGCCTCTTTCAAAAAAAGCGTCTAGATTGCAGACTGCTGGACGGTCTTTTGACAAAAAAGGCACCCGGAAGGGCTTCTGGCAGGGCTTGGGGCAGCCTTTACTTCGTGGTCCCTTTGCAGAGACGCGTGCTTAAAGGGATCCCCCTGGACAGCTGTTGCTCTGCTCCTGCTTCTGGCTTGCCTACCTCCTAGAGGGAAAGCAAAACTGCTGCAGTGCTTGTTCTGGTTGCCCTGCTTTCTTGGACACCACAGCAGTTTCTTTTCTGGGTTTTTTTTTCTGCTTTTCACTGTGTTTTTGGCCATGGAGCCTGAGCTGTCCCTGGGCAGGCGATGGCCCCACGCTGCCATTCTGCAGCTTCTGCTGCATCTTCATGACTCTGTCAGGAATCTCCTGCCCCATGTGGACCCAGACAAGACCTTCAAGACCTTTGTCCGGGATGCAGGAGCTCTGTCCTTGCCCCCAAACTTTTTTGGGGACAGGTGGATTTGGAGGCATGAGATGAGTTCGGACTGGTGGGACCGACTCGTCATGGAGCTCTGGGACAACGAACACTGGCTCGGCAACTTCCAGATGTGGAAGGCCACATTCCAGGAGCTGTGTACCTGGCTCACCCCTGCTCTGGAACACCAGGACACGCACCTGTGGCCCCACATCCCTCTGAAGAAGCAGGTCGCAATCACCCTTTGGAAGCTGGCCACTCCCAACAGCTACCGCTATGTGGGACACCAGTTTGGCGTGGGGAGGTCTACCGTCGGGGCCATTTTGATGGAGGTGTCACTTTCAGGGGACAGGCCCTGCTAAGTGTGGGAGTTGAGAAAGGGGACTGCCAAGCAAGGGCAAGAGGGAGTGGGGGATTGTGTGGCACTTAGAGGCAGCTCCTCGGCCAATCCAGTGCTGATGCGGGGGAGCGAGGTGTCCTGACAAGGGGAGGAGTGGATTGGGGAGGAAAGGGAGGGTTCTCCTCCCAAGCTCTTAGGTAACCTGTCTAACTCCCTGGTTTCTGTCTATTTGTGTCTTGCTGCAGGTGGTGAAAGCCATCAATGTGGAGCTGCTGAAAAGACTCGTCCTTCTCGGGGACCTGGACAACATCCTTGCCAGGTTTGCTGCCCTTGGCTTCCCGAACTGCGGAGGAGCCCTCAATGGGACACACATCCCAATCCATGCACCGCCCCATTGAGCAGCCCAATTTATAAACAGGAAGGGCTACTATTCCACGCTGCTGCAGACCCTGGTAGACCACCGGGAACACTTTATGGACATTTGTGTCGGGTGTTCAGGGCGGGCACATGATGCCTGCATATTCCACAACTCCTACCTGTACCTCAGATTGGAGGCAGGGACATTTTTCCCCCAGCGGCACCTCATGCTTGGGGACGTGCAGATGCCGGTGTGCATAGCGGCCGACGTGGCCTATTCCCTGATGCCGTGGCTCATGAAGCCCTACACTGGCCACCTGGATGCGAGCAAGGAGCTTTTCAACACACATCTTGGCCAGGCTCACATCCAGGTGGAATGCGCCTTAGGCCATCTGAAAGGGAGGTTCCGTTTCCTCCTCACACGCCTGGAGATGGGCGAATGCAACATCCCGGAGGTGGTGGCCGCATGTTGCGCCCTCCATAACCTGATGGAGAGGAAAGGGGAGGCCTTCCTGCTGGGGCGGGGGACAGGTGTTGATGGCGAGGACAGGCCATTTGAGCAGCCCCGGACGGCTGTCATCTGCCAGGCTCACCAGTGTGGTGTCCGAATCCGAGAGGTCCAGAGGGAGAGATTTCAGAAGAAGCCTCCCAACATCCTTTGGAGCCAGTGATAACAATAATTAGTCAATATATTATGGTAGGTAGGATTGGGGCTTCTAAGTGAAAAAATAAAATCCCCAGAGGGATGATGACAACAATAATAATACAAGAGGTTTGCACACTTTGTGGCCTATCTAGGCAGAGCTCACTGCACACACCAGGGCCTCCTTGCATTTTCCGCTCAACTCTACAAGTACCCTGTGGGCCACTCTCTCATCTCCCTCCTTGCAATCCAAATCCCATGCTAGGGTGTGTGTCTCTCCCATGTCTGTGGGCTCCCATTCTCCTTCTTTGTGCCCCTTTCCATCGTGGCATTTAAACACTATCATGTTACAGACAAACAGAGAGCAGAGTGCTAGACATTGCTTTGCCCAGTAGGACAGGAAAGTGTTTTGGAGTGGCAAATCGAGACACAGAGGTTAAATGGCTTGTCCCAAGTCATATCAAGTACATTGAGGAGCCAAGATTGGTATTCAACAGTTCCTGGCTTCCGGAGACATGTCCAGGTCACTTACAACACAAGCCGCATATTTTCAAAGCAGTTTATGTTAATTTAACATTAACACTGAGTTTTAACTACACAAAGGAAAGGAAATTCAGAATAAAGGCTCTCATAGCAACATTAACTCTGCTGTCCTCTATTGATAGGAATACTAGTGCTGAGGTTTATGAGAAGTAGTCTTGCTTTTCCAGAGGAGACTGTACATCCAGGACTGTGAATCTGTCAAAAATGCCTTTAAAAATTCCTGGCCTGCATTGGAGTGAGGCTGAAAGACCAATGCTGTCAAACAGGATTTGTCTCAATTAGATTTCTTAACCTCAGAGGATAGGACAGCCGATGCAGCAGCTAACATTTGCAGTGACAGACACTGAACTAAATGCACTGTCCCTTGTCCCCAAAAAGTAAGAAAGGAAAGCCACATTAGGCATCCTAACACTCACGTGATATCCCCTGACTGCAATTCCAATATAAGGAAACAGATATAATACCATTTCCAGCACCATTTCCATCAGCCACGCAACAGCTCAAGAACCCCCCCTAGCTGTATAGATATTGGATTTTGACTCACAAATTGTGAAGTATCTATATTCTGATCAACTCTGTTAGTGAAATTTGGAATTTTGCATGTACAGAGATTGAAAGATTTATACCGCACCTCTAAGACTAATGTACTTCATTACATGTACTTGCCTTTAAAAACTGAGGTGTTGCCAGTCGAACAGTAGCAACAAAACAGACTTGTTTTCCTAGTGATGTTCTATAAGCCCGAGGGACAGCACCATCAAAGCAGTTACAAGTGGAAGTAGGCACTGGGAAGGAAAAAGCAAAATTAACAGATTTTCCCTGACTGAATATTGTACATATTTGAAAAGTGCTAAGAATAAATCTTATATAGAGGAGTGTCTCAAAGCCTTTTAAAACTTATATGTATCTATTTGAATCAAAGTCAGTCATGTTAGGTTAAAAGCATGAGAGCTTAGCTCAAAGTATGAAGTATATTTGTAAACCTTTAAATGGTATATATCTATATATAACAGCATTCCGGAAAGAAACTCTGTACATCCAGTTCCTCCTTTTCACAGTTCACAATAACAATATATATTTTAGCGATCTTACTGCATTACTTATGGGCAGTACATGAAAGTACTGTTAGAGATTGAAGGATGTTATCCTCCATCAAGTTATTGATAGCAAAATATTTAGAACCAATATTGGTAAAGTTTTCATGGAGTTAGTGGACATGTTTCTTCAGGTACTAAAATATATAACCCCAATATATAACGAGGTGTACCGGTAGTTCGGATTAGAGAGCCTAATCCAAACTACCTACTCCGTGCTGCGTGTAGCTGCGGGCACGGAGTCCGAACTACCGGGGCTTTAAAAATGGCGGCGCCCGGCAAGATGCAAATGAAGCCCGGGATATTTAAATCCTGGGCTTCATTTACAACTTCGGTTGCCTACATTAACCACCCTAGTTCGAACTAGGGTGGTAGTGTAGACATACCCTCAGTGACTAAGGGGTTAAATTCAGGTAGCTAGCAAGAGTGGTGGCAGGGGGTCAGAAGAACCAATGGGGATACAGTGCTGAAATCTGAATGGGATATAGATACTTGGTGTGATTTTTCTTTGTGGATTCAAAGCTAAGGGCTGGAGCGAGCAGATGCAGTAATCAGAATTATCATGCCTATAAGAAATACTGGATATGGGAATGAACCATAGAGCTGGAAAAGACCTCAGAAGGTCATCAAGTCCAGCCCCCTGCTCTAGGCAGGACCAATCCCAACTAAATCAACCCGGCCAGGGCTTTGTCAAGCCGAGACTTAAACACCGTTAGGCATGGAGACTCCACTACTTCCCTAGATAACCCATTCCAGTGCTTCGCCACTCTCCTAGTGAAATAGTTTTTCCTAATATCCAACTTGGACCTCTCCCACCACAACTTGAGACCATTGCTCCTTGTTCTGCCTTCTGTCACTACTGAGAACGGCCTTTCTCCATCCTCTTTGGAAGCTCCCTTCAGGAAGTTGAAGGCCGCTGTCAAATTCCCCCTCACTCTTCGCTTCTGCTTTAAACTAGGTTCGTTGGGGGACGGTGACCAAAACCCTGAGGGGAGTGGGAAAGTTGGATACCGGGAAGAAATGCAAAGAGGAATGAGCAAGAAAGGAGGACCCCTGATTCAAATGGAGAAGATAGGGCAATCAATTGGTTATCTGAGATGTTTGTACAGCTGGTCCCCGAGCTGCGAATGGTAGACTTACAACCGTTCACAGTTATGACTAAAAATGTCGTAAATGGCGGACCCCGAGTTACGAACGCAATCCGCACATACGAACAGCACGGTTGCATGTAGCTCAATGAGGTCCGACTTATGAACAAACCGAGTTACGACCAATTGCTTGGTCCGTAACCGGTTCATAAGTCGGAGACAGGCTGTATACTAATGCGAGAAGCCTGGGCAACAAACAGGGAGAACTGGAGGCCCTGGCCCAAGAAATATGATTTAATTGGGATAACAGAGACTTGGTGGGATGACTTGCATGACTGAAGCGCTGTCATGGAAGGGTATAGACTGTTCAGGAAGAACAGGCAGGGGAGAAAATGAGGAGGAGCTGCACTATACGTGAGAGAGCACTATGATTACTCTGAACTCCAGTATATAGAAGGAGAAAAACCTGTTGAGAGTCTATGGGTTAAGTTTAAAGGTGCAAACAACAGAAGTGATGTTGTGGTTGGTGTCTACTATAGGCCACCGAATCAGGTGGATGAGGTAGATCAGGCTTTCTTCGGACAACTGAGAGGAGGTTCCAGATTGCAGGCTCTGGTTCTCGTGGGGGACTTTAATCACCCTGACATCTGTTGGCAAACCAATACGGCATTACACAGGCAATCCAGGAAGTTTTTGGAGAATGTTGGGGATAACTTCTTGGTACTAGTGCTGAAGGATCCGACCAGGGGCTGTGCACAGCTTGATCTTCTGCTCACAAACAGGGAGGAACTAACAGGGGAAGCAGAGGTGGGTGACAACCTGGGAAGCAATGATCATGAGATGGTAGATTTCAGGATCCTGACCAAAGGAAGAAAAGAGAGTAGTAAAATACACACCTTGGACTTCAGAAAAGCAGATTTTGACTCCCTCAGACACCTGATGGGCAGAATCCCCTGGGATGCTACCATGAAGGGGAAAGGAATCCAGGACAGCTAGCAGTATTTTACATAAGAACATAAGAACGGCCGTACTGGGTCAGACCAAAGATCCTTCTAGCCCAGTATCCTGTCTACCGACAGTGGCCAGCACCAGGTGCCCCAGAGAGGGTGGACCGAAGACAATGATCAAGCGATTTGTCTCCTGCCATCTCTCTACAGCCTCTGACAAATAGAGGCCAAGGACACCATTTTATCCCCTGGGTAATAGCCTTTTATGGACCTAACCTCCATGAAATTATCTAGCTTCTCTTTAAACTCTATTATAGTCCTAGCCTTCACAGCCTCCTCTGGCAAGGAAGAAGCCTTATTGAAGGCACAGAAAGAAACCATCTTGATATGTAGCAAGAGAGGCAAACATGGTAGGAGACCGGATTGGCTTACGGGGGAAATCCCTGGTGAACTTAAGCACAAAAAGGAAGCTTACAAAAAGTGGAAACTTGGACAAATGACCAGGGAGGGGTTTAAATGTATAGCTCGAGAATGCCAGGGGTTATCAGGAAGGCGAAAGCGCAATTGGAATTGCGACTGGCAAAGGATGTGAAGGATAACAAGAAAGGTTTCTACAGGCATGTTAACAAGAAGAAGGTGATCAGAGAGGATGTGGGGCTGAAGGAGGTAAAAAGCTGAAGTACTCAATGCTTTCTTTGCCTCTGTATTCACGGACAAGGTTGGCTCCCGGACCAATGCACTAAGTGATGCAAGATGGGATGAAGATGGATAGCCCTTGGTGGGTAAAGAATAGGTCAGGACCTATTTAGAAAAGCTAAACGTACACAAATCCACGGGTCCAGACTTAATGCATCTGAGGGAGTTGGCAAATGTCATTGAGGAGCCTTTGGCTATTATCTTTGAAAAGTCGTGGAGATCGGGAGAGATCCTGGATGATTGGAAAAAGGCAAATGTAGTTCCCATCTTCAAAAAAGGGAAGAAGGACGATCCAGGGAACTATAGGCTGGTCAGTCTTACCTCGGTTCCTGAAAAAATCATGGAAGGGATCCTTATCTATTTTAATTCACTTGGAAGAGAGAAAAGTGATTAGGAATAGTCAGCATGGATTCACAAAGGGCAAGTCGTGCCTGACCAATCTGATTAGCTTCTATGATGAGGTAACTGGCTCTGTTGACATAGGAAAGTCAGTGGATGTTATATACCTTGACTTTAGCAAGGCTTTTGATACGGTCTCCCACAATATTCTTGCCAGCAAGTTTCGGGAATGTGAATTGGATAAATGGATGGTAAGATGGATAGAAAGCTGGCTAGAAGGCCGGGCCCAGCGGGTAGTGATCAATGGCTCGATGTCAGGATGGTGCTCGGTTTCTAGCGGAGTGCCCCACGGTTTGGTTCTCGGACCAGTTTTGTTCAATAATTTTATTAATGACCTGGATGAAGGGATGGATTGCACCCTCAGCAAGTTTGCAGATGACACTAAGCTAGGGGGAGAGGTAGATATGCTTGAGGGCAGAGATAGGGTCCAGAGTGACTTAGACAAATTGGAGTATTGGGCCACAAGAAATCTGATGAGGTTCAACAAGGACAAGTGCAGAGTCTGCACTTGGGACAGAAGAATCCCAAGCACTGTTACAGGCTGGGGACCAACCAGCTAAGTAGTAGTTCTGCAGAAAAGGACCTCAAGGTTACAGTGGATGAGAAGTTGGATATGAGTCAACAGTGTGCCCCTGTAGACAAGAAGGCTAATGGCATATTAGGTTGCATTAAGACGAGCATTTCCTGCAGGTCCAGAGATGTCATTATTCCCCAATAATCAAAGCAGCATCGTTTCAAAGATATTAATAAAACTCCCCTATCAGCATCACAGAGAAAAATCAAACCAACGGCAAAGGGCCTGGAAATAATCGTTCTGAAGAAAACCAGATAGGAGGGGATAAACCTCCCTCCCCCACCCCATCCCCAGTGCAATGTGTCATCTCCTTCCCCCTGCTGCTCACCACAACCCCAATGTGTCACCCACCTCCATCTCTCGCTCCCCCTCCTCAGAAACTTATTTCAGTGCATGCAGGGGCGGGAGAAAGGACACGGCCCCCCTCGGGCTCTACCCCCTTGGGGGTCGGAGGCCTGGGATGGAGGGTTACACTGTCTGTGTTGTAATTTGTTTCACTTAGTCACTCTGTAACACCTAGCAACCAAGTATGCTTTATCAAGTATACATTTTTGTGTTGTTAATAAAATCACCTTTTTTAAGGTGATGATTTGATTATTTTGTCCTGGAAGGAAACAGGAGGCCTGTCTGTGTGTGTGTGTGCATGCCTCAGACTAAGAGGTCAGCTACCAGAGACTGCTGTTTGTTTTCTCTTTGTTTTTAAGCTCTCTTGTGGTAAAGGAGGTTGGGGATAATCCTCTGGAAGAAGACCAAGAGCTTCCTTCCTGGGTTCAAGAAAACCGTTTTTTTTTCTTTGTTTCACTTGTCAGTGGCAGCTATCCCCTTCCCTCCCCCCCAAGTCAGTGAATCTATGACTCTGGGGAGTTTTTGTAAGCAGAGCCTATAGAGGAAAGGTATTTAAGGTCTCTTGCAGGCCCCCATATTCTGCGCTTGGGGTGCCAGAGTGGGGAACAGCCCTGACACCCTCGAAGGTTGACAGGAAGGGTC